AACAAACAGCACCTGGAGTCTCTGAAGTAGAAAACAGATTAAACAGGGTAGTGACTTCACGTGCAGGGAAACCCTATACTGTCAAAATACTAGCAAGGCTATAAACCAATGGGACTCCAGTAACAATTAGTGTTTGTTTGTTTGTTGTAAGATTTATTTATTTGTGCATACAGAACTGGAGCAGAGGTGCAGGGGTGGTGAGAGGGTTCACCAGAGACAGAGTGGGGAGCAGAACAGGCTGACTGGTGAAGTACACTGCTGAGGGGAGCAGCGGGTGGGTCAGGAGAGGTCTGCCTTGTCATGTGGATCACCCTCCCTGGCTGGGATCAAACTCATGCTGAAGTGGCTTTAGCATCATAATGCTGTGCTTTAACCCGCTGTACCACTAGGGAGGCCCAGCAATTAGTTCTTTACAAAAATGTTTGCCAATCTGATAGGTGAAACTTGTATTTCATTGTTGTTTGTGTAGCTAGTCTTAATTACCTTAAATTTACCGACCTTCTGGTGTCTTTTCTAGGAACTATGCTGTCTTACTACTGTGTAAAACAAGGGAAACTCGTTTATTTATCATATGTACTGAAATGTTTTCCCTCACTCTGTTTTCCTATACCCTTTGTTTTCTTTTTCTTTTTCTTTTTTTTTTTTTCCATACATGATTTTAAGCTTTTAAATAGCCAAGCTTCAAGTAAATTTTTGAGAAGTCAAATTTCCAAAATTACATTTTATGGGTCCTGGGTCTCCCCTAGGAGAATAACCCAGGGAGGCCATTATTAACCACCTTCTATGCAGAAAAGTAGTAGCTGCCTGAGTCATGCAGGAGTTAGCAACAAAGCAGGGACTCAGAAGCCTTGCCCTTGCCAGGGTGCAGCACAGCCTGCCTGTGGTGTGAGCTACAGAGGGAAAATGACACCAAAAGCTAAAAATAACCAGGTTTTCCAGAGAAGAGGAAATGGAAGAAGATGCCAAAAGGAAGGACGAGCCCCCTATCTTCATTCAGACTCAGCAGGAGGACATGACCTCATTTATCCTGACAGAATGACTCCGGAAACCCTGAATTTTCTGTCGTCTTCCCAGCCTAAAGGTGGTGTGAGCTGGGGCCCCACCTCCATGGCCCACGCTAGCTCTCCAAGGCTAGTCTCGGGAAATGTCCTCTCTGGAAACCTTCCAACAGACACCTGACTCCACTTCCCTTCTTTGCTGGCCACCCAAGCCTGGTCAGAGGAGGGGTAGAAGACAGGGCCTGAGCTGGGCATCATCTTACCCAGCAGGCTAGGGAAATTCCTGTCTGCCTGTAACCTTTGCTCTCCGCTGGAAAGTCCCAGTTTCCTTCCACCATTCTGCCTCTCTGTTACATTTCCATCCACCACTGCCCTGGAGTTTAGACCCTGGTTCCACTGACACTGGCCACGGGGTGCTCACTTTCACCAGATTAAACCTGATTGAGTGTCAGGTGGCAAACAAGGATGCTAAGTCTCCCCAGAAAAATTCCTGGTGTCATATTCGGACATGTCTTACCTCCTGGGCATTCACTGAACACGGTGACCACATATAGTTGTGCAGGTTGTATACTGCACAAGCTCACGGTCGCTTCCTACCTTCTCATGATGACCAGCATTTGCTAGCGACTCGCCTTCAGACCTGTGCACATGCATCCTAATCACCAGATAGGACTTCTGAGAAAAGTGAGGCAAAGAACTCAGAAAGAAAGGGCAAGCTCTTGCCTTCCTTAGCTGGGAATGTCAAGCCTTTCCCCACCTTCCACTCCCATGTCGTATGCATATGTGGATCCTGGGAGCTTTTGAGAAATTCATAGTGCAGAATGTTTCTAGAAGCATGACCACATGTCTGGTTTGCCCAAGACAGTCCCAGTTTATCACCATTGTACAGTTTAGCCTCTGTATCCCACTTGGACAGTAAATTATATGGTCACCTCACTTATAAGCCACACATGGGCCAGCCCAGGGGGACTGGGAGAACACAACATCAGCTTATTATCCAACAACAAGCATAGACACTAAGAACTGCTTGAGCACTCCTATGTGAGTGCATCATATGTATGCAAACAAGGCCCAGAGATGAGTCACATGGTCACTCCGAGTCAGCGGTGGGAAACCTTTGCTCTCCTGACTCTCACAAGAAAACTTTAGGAAAGAGGGAATCCCACTTGTTACTAGAGATATAAAGCATGACTATTGCAATCTCTTGTGAGCATAATAACCAAAATGTAAAATATGAATAACCTACAACCCAGAAATGGGATGAATATAAAATTACTAGTAATTAAAGACATAGCTATATGTAGATTCCTCCCCAGCTTTGCTTATAATATCAATGCATATTAACAGAGAATGATTAAATAATGTATACCATCTTAAAAATAAACTGTGGATCAAAATGTGGGCAGGACATTTGAACAGAAGTTTTTCCCAAAAAGACATACAGGTGGTCAGTGAATACATAAAAAATGCCCAGTCTTGCTTATTATTAAGGAAATGCAAATCAAATACCACAATGAGAAATCATATCACCCCACTGAGAATATCCAACACACTGAAAAGGATATATTTTGGTGTGGCTGAGGAGGAAAAGGGATTTTCATCCACTGTTGGGTGAGATATTGGTATAGCCTCTACGGAAAATGATTTGGAGACTCCTTAAAAAAAAAAAAAAGACAACATCCAGTATTTGTTTTTCTCCTTCCCCCTTATTTTGCTTAGCATAATCACCTCTGGTTCCATCCATGTTACCACAAATGGCCAGTGTTCTCTTCACAGCTGAGAAGCAGTCCATTGTGTAGGTAGACCTCATCTTCCATTCCGCTCATCTCTCTTAGGTTGATTCCATAAAGGCTGCACAGCAGGAGGAGGATGGGGAGCGAGGGGGGGGGGATCCCCATGAACTATGGGGAGGACTGTGGTGGCTTGCTGGTAGGTGAGGTGTGGAAACACAGACCTGAAGGGTGTGACCCTACACCTCTAAGGCATACAGAGCATCGGAAACCAACGTTGCCTCAATTCAAAGTAAAAATTTTTAAATTTGTCCTACTGAGAAATCTGAACTAATAAAAAATAAATAGAAATACTCATGTAGCAACAAGAACACTCCTAGGTATTTATCCAAAGAGCAAAAAAGTGTTTACTTGGAAAACCATCTGCCCCACATGTTCGTAGCATCCTGTTCACAACAGTCACGGCACGGAAGCCACCAAGTGCCATAGACAAGAGGGAAATAGAGAGGTTATGTTATATATACCCGTTGAGATGCTATTTCAAACGATGTATTGTTGCCTTTGGCAACAACAGGGCACTTGGGAGGGCTAGTCTGAGTGAGATAAGTCAAAGTGAAAGACAGTTACCAAGTGGTTTCTCTCATATGGGGAATATAAATTACCAAAGCAAAGGAACTAACAAACACTACAGAAACAACTCTTCGACTCCATCAGAAATACAGAGTGAGGGGAGGGGAGGGATGGCAGGAGTTTGGTAGTGGGAACAAACTGCTAAGCACCCGGTGAGACAAAAGTACGTAGGGGTGTGTGGAAAGGTTCTCCTAAGGTTTTCATTGTTTTGTAAACCAATGGTAATTCAATACAATTTTATCTAAAAGAAATATACTGAAGGATACCATGGAACTATTTGAAAGAATGGACTAGGTTTACAGCTCCTGAAAGGAGGCCTTGGACTTGCTGCTTAGAAGACAGAGGCAAGGGGCTGACTCCTTGTCTCCCCAGAGGCGGCTGTTGATTGGATTTGATTGAGCTCCTGGCAGGCTGTGCTGAAGTGAATTGAGTCCAGGGAGCTGGGAAGGAGTCCAGGCTACGCATAGAAGCCCCTTCCAACAGTCTACAAGGAGCCTGGGGCCCTGGGGACTGACCCTTCCTCCTCCAGCACAGCCAGGCCACCAGAGAGAACCAATGTGAGGGGGAGTAGGGGGGGTGTGAGGCAGGTTGGGGCTCTCTCAGGGGGCTGGCTGTCCCACCAGAGCAGAAGCTTGCAGAGGTGAAGAGACAAGAGTGAAGAATGGACAGGGAACAAATTCAGCATGGCAGTTCCTCCTGCCAGCTGGAAAGGAAGAACGAGCATCATTATGTCGTGCTCACTGCGTAGGGCAAGGGGCACAAGTCACGGCGTTGACAGGCTGTCCAGATCTAATCCCCTTGAAAAATGGGGCAAACAGCATTCAAGTTTGGGGGTGAATCATGGACAGTGCACCAAATCAGCTTCCAGGAGCCCTTCCCTCTCCTCCCTGGGGTCCTGACTGTGCTGGAACCCAGCCCAGGGGCCACGGCTGCAGGGCAGGGTGGGGTCTGCACTCCTGCTGCTAGAAGCTTGGATTCCAGACCAGCAGAGACTGGAGTCGTGACCTGCATTTTCACAAGATCTCCAGTGATTTGGAGCACAGTGCTAGGACTCCAGGCCCTCTGGAGGGGGCTCTGAGTGGGCAAGAGAGTGCTGCTGGACAAGTTTTTCTCTTATAAATATCGACAACGCCATTGGCCTTACTTTAATGAGTTGCTATGCCATCTGGCTCCTTCCCTCCGTGTCTTTTTCTATCCAAAACCCTGTCCAGAAGGAGATGAGAAGGAGAGAAATGGGATGGAAGTAAAGAAAACCCATCTGGAAAACTAGAAATACTGGAGAGGAAGGAGCGGAGGGAAGGAATGAAAGAAGCTGAGTTCTGGAGGAGAAGAGAGGGGTGGCAGCCAAGGAGCTGCAGTGTTTTCAAAGGGGCCTGTGTCTTCCCCATCTAGCGCCCTGTTTCCACTCCTGGAAAATCATTCCAGTGGTTCCCCTTTGGGTTTTCCACATGACTAAGCCCCACGGGTCTCACCTAATCATAGTCGGACGCCTGCAGCCGCTGCAGCTCCTCCAGAGCCTGCAGTGTCAGGCTGCAGATCTCGGCACACCTGTGCCCCCCCACCCCCGCCTCTCCCCGCACCTGTACACCACGGGAGGCCCTCACTGGTGGTGGCTGGGTGCCACCCGTCTGTCTCTCACACCATGGAAGCAGCCGTCTCACTCCTGGCCTGCTTGTTCTGCGTCCTCCTAATGGGTGAGTTTCCCAGCGTTCTCTCTGGCCCACGCTCAGAGCAGAGCAGATGCTGACAGAATCCCAGTACATGCTCCCGTCTGTGAACTGGGCCCGCTGTGTGTGCCCAGACGCTCCAGGTCTGTGGAGGTGGAGGAGCGGCACTTTGGGCTGGTGCAGGAGCCAGAAGTTCAGTCCTTGTTATGTTTTGAGTGACGAGATGCAGTGCCCTGATTTCCCAGGGCCTCAGTGTCCCTACCTATAGAAAGGGCCCTGGGGGGTAGTGGGCAGGTGTGGGGGAGGACAGTCCAGGCTCTGAACAGACTTGGGGTCTCACCATCATCCAAATGCATTGCCTTGATGGCACAGCCCCAAGGCCGTGGGGAGGAGAGCACCTGGTTGTTTGGGGTGAAGCTAGGGATAAGTTTATATGGACCTGATGGAAAAAGAGGGCACCTGAACACACAGCAGGGACCCTCGGGTGAGAAGCAACTCTTTACAGTGCATCAGCCACTGAGCCCTGCCCAGTGGGCTGGTGTCCCTGGGGCTAGCATTTCTTAAAGGGCACTCACAGGCCATCTGCATCAAAATACACTCTGACTCTGTCATTACGGGGTGGCCAAGCCTCACCCATCGGCCACCTGGAGAGCACACCCCTATTCTCTTCACACTGGCTGCCGGCCTGCTGCTAGAGCCACAGGTCTGTGAGCTGGTGCAAACATGGGTCCCACTTTCTTTATTGCTCTGGTGGTGTCCATCTGGGAGCTCATCTGTGTGGCCTGGCAGGAGGACAGGCAGGCAATGGGCTGGAGGGCCAGGCTGGGCTGGGCAGCATGTGGACTTGAGTGAACTTGCTGCCTGCAGGGCACTGTCCACACTTCTAAGTGTGGGGTTCTGGGCAGGCTCTTGGCAAAAGCAAAGTGGAAGGAATTTATCCCCAGAAAGCCCCTTTCTAACTTCCATGTTCTTCCTCATGCCAAGTCTCCACCCCTAGCACCCGTACCTGGGGCAGCCCTTCCCTCCCAGGCAGCCCCATGAACTGCCCCTGTCACTTCCCACTTTCTTCCCCCAGATCTGCCCTTTCCTGCTTTCCTGCAGAGGCCAGGAAATGTGGTGGGTGGAATAGTCAGGGGCCTGGGCGCTGTGGTGACCTTGGGCAAGTCTTAATTGGCTACCCCACACCTACAGAAGGCCTCGCCCTCAGGGGCTGGGTGCCAGAGTGACTGCACCACAAGCACAGTGAGAAACTTATCTCTGCTAAAGGGAGTCTCAGGAGGCCAAGGGTGGGGTACCCCACCCCGGCTGTGCCCCCAGTCTTCCTAGTGCAAGTCCAGCCCTTTACACTTCTACCTGTGCCTCAAGTCTGGGGCAAAGCTCACTGCTCAGAGGTGTTTGCTTTATTCACTCTAAACCACTGCAGAAAAAACTGCCAGAAAGGCAAGGCTGTGAGACACAGCAGTAACCCCGGAACATGGGGGTGCTTGCTGAGAGGCAGGGAAATGTCAGGGAGGAAATGGGCCCTCTCCCTAGTCTAGGAGGCAGTGTAAGTGTTCATGAGCCAGGGCTCTTCAGTTCCCAGAGACCACTGAGGTCAGTAGTTCCAACTGGGGAGCCTACTCAGGGAGGAGGGGAAGCAGGGAGCAGTGGCCAGTGGCAAATACAGGCCCAGGGCAGGATTACTCGGAATCCAACAGCGGAGAGGGAAGAGTGAAAAGAAATCGGCTAGCCCAGAGGCAAAACAGCCAGGCCTCCGGCTCACGCACCCCTCATTCTCACCTCTTCTAGAACCTCCTGGGTCACAGAACTCCTGCTTCTACTCCCTCTTCTCCCCTCTGGTCTCTACTCCTTTCTCTGGTGATAACCTGTCTGAACAACGTGCAGGCCCAGAGAGAATCGCAGGGCGCACTCGGGCAAGAGGGAACAGGATGAAGGCAACATGTCCCAGCTCAGCGCACATGCCTCAGTGCTGAGGCTTGGTGGCCACGATGGACATTTCTCCTGGACCCCCAAGTGCTCTCTTCTCACCCTCCAGGGGTCTAGCACCCAAGAGGCCACCACTGGAGTCACTCTCTCCTAGAGCATACCCCTGCTAACAGGCCCCAGCATCCCCAAGGACGGTGGCTAGTTGAGCTCATCAGGGCTCCCTGTCAACTGGCAATGTCAGCCAGCAGCAGGCAGATCTCGAAGGGGCTCCAGCTCTCTGCAGAGCTTTCTGTCAGGAGCATGGGCATGCCAGCCTGGCATCTTCCTCTGCCCTTCCAAGCCCACAGTTCAAACATAAGGCCCACCCCCAACAGCCTGGGCTTGTATTCTTCTGCACGGGCGCCTGCCTCAATCCCCCAACCTCTATCTCCCCATGACTACCAGGAGTTCACTACTCATCTCATCCACCTCACACTCTGTGATGAAACCTGTAAACAGAGCTCCCTTGTTGATTAACATAAATGCAGTTGCACAAACTCACCGCAGATGACCTGGAGAGAGACTGGCCTGTGGCTTCCCTCCCACTGAGGAACCAGTGGAGATCTTTTGTCAGATGCAGCCAAAACCGAGGTTTCTATTTCCAATACCAGCCAGATGCCGCTTCTGTCCACTCAGGTTCTGCAGATCGCCCTTGGGCTCCCATCCCACGCTGGCACCACAGGCATGGGGCTTTGAGATAATAAGTCTAGGAAGAGTCAGCTACCCCTGAGCTGGGGTATGACTATGATGAGCAGGCAGCGGGGCCCAATGCCGGTGCCCTTTTGCCACCGAGGTCAGCACCGGGGGGGGGGGGGGCCTAGAGTAGTGACGGAGGCTCAGCTCACGCTGCCTACACCTTTCGGCTTAGTTGGCTGAGTTTTCTGGATAACGGGTGCTTGCATCTCAGTACAGCAAGTCCTCGCTTAACACGATCCAAAGCTTCTTAGGCACTGTGACTTTAAGTTAAACAACAACAAAAGCAATTTTACACTAGGCTGATTGCTATACCTGACAGTTCAGTTCCTACGGCATATTTCTGGTCACAATAACATTATCAAACTTTTACACAGAGACCCAAGACACATCTGACATAAAGCAATGATGTATAAGTCACTCATTCTCGCCATTGCTTGTTCTCGTTCAGGGTCTTGGGTGGTCGCAGCCTCTCCCAACAGCAAGGTGGGAACCAACCTTGAATAGGACACCCTCACATCGCAGGGCTGTCACCCTCATATCCACACCCCCTCTGAGGGGGCAATAGCGACATGCCAGCAAACCTCACATGCCTGAAGTCACTGGAGAAAACCCCGACAAGGGATTTAACTGCCAGCTCCACACAGCTGGGGGCACCGGCTTAGACCCACAAAGTTAAGATCAGTGTGGCAGAGCCAGGGCCCAGACTGACCCCATTCTCCACCCGAGAGCCATGCCTCTCCTGGCAGTGAACCTTTATGAGGTGACTTGGGTCACGGCTGTCACACAGGCCCACTGCCTCAAGGCCCTGGGTAGACTCCTCTAAATGGTGCTTTTCTGCCCTGCTTTTACCATTGCTACCCTGAGCCATCTTGCTACTACTCTTACTGGGCTCTTCTTGCCAGGCTGTCAGTTGTCATTTCTGGTTGCTTTTAATGGGCCTCCAAAGAGAAGCCAAGTGCTTCTCTTTGCCCTTGAGAAATCTCCATTAAGTGAATAAATGCACCATACATGAGTAGCTTGGGATGAGTTTAGGACAAAAGGGAAGGTTGTGTTCTGCTTGGCAAACAGTGATATCAGGGTGTCTGTGTCCTGACCTGCTGTGTCACCATGAGCTCAAAGCTCAGAGCATGTCCACCAATGATTAGCACACCCCATCTTCTCCCTTCTGCCTGCTCCCCTTGCAGGGATTGTGAAACACTCACAGACATGGAGTGTTTCCCGAGGGTGACCTGCCTCTGTGACTTCACCCAGCCCCCCTCCTATGAGGAAGGGGTACGCTCCTCATCTGGGAGTAGAGAAGTCTGAGACCTGGGACGTTCTGTAACTTGCCCCAAGATCACCTGCCAACTGGGTGGGCTAAGAACAGCAGCAGGCACAGACTGGGTGCTTGACACAGGCCTAGTGAAAGAAGGCACACAAGGGAGAATGTCACCCCTGTTCACCATGGCACAATGGGGAGTTCTTAGGGACAACAGCAGGAATGTGGCCCAGAGGCTGATGCCATGAGGCAGAGAGATTAGAGACCTACACAAGAGTGAAGATTCCAGTTTAGGAGTGAGCAGCACCCCTCACCCCACCAGAGGCATGCAGGAGCTGCCAGAGGGCTCAGTAAATGTCACCGGATGCTGAGGTGCTTGGATGCCTGCCAAAGCAAATGCATTTGCTCTCCTGCAATTCCTGCTAGGCCTTCCCACCCTCACCTTGCATCCAGGATGGACTCATCCAAAGGCCTCGATGAGAGCAGGAGGAGCACTGTTCAGCAGGTCAACAGGAAACAGCAATCTCCCTGGTGGCTAGTGAAAGGGCCTCTGTGCCTGCTCTGTCCCCAGAGCACCAGCCCTGAAAGGCAGCCTGTCTCTTTCTGTCCTCCTCCAGCAGGGAGCATCCTGGACAGGGGGTAACTTGAAGCACTGAGGGGACCCCGAGTGCCCCAGCTCTCATTGGCCAGGTGACCTTGCCTTCACTTACGCTCTCTGAGCCTCTCGTTCCCTTCCCTTGAAGGGGGCTAACGATAGTTCCTTGTGGGGGAGTTGAAATCGGAAATGAGGGGAGGAACATCTCCAGGAAGTCCTGAAGCTCTGTATATTCCAGGCCCCTTAGGCCTTCTTGCCCTGTGACCCCCGCTGGTGTCCCTGAGACTCCGGCTGTGCCCTTCGCCTAGACACCTTCTTCCTGCCTCAAAGCTTCCTGACATCCCACACCTCCCTCCAGGCTCTGCTCCTCATCCCCTGGTGCTCCACCCAATCCCTGCCCCCTCCCACTCTACACCTACCCTGTCGAACCCAGCTGCCTTCTCTCTCCTCAGCGCCTTCCGGCAATTCAGCGCAACATCATTCACCATGTGTAGGCACTGTCTGGTGATAATGCCATGAGGACCGCCCCAAATGTGGCCCCTGCCCACCAGGTTCTTCCAGGTGCCTGGGAGAGACACGCAGGGAACAGGCCAGTCCCTTACAGAGGCAATACCTCTGCCAGCCTGGGGAATGGAGGGGGAGGGGAGTGGGGGGAGCTGTGGGACACAGGCCTGAGGCTGACTGGGAGGGAGCTGGCTGGCAGTATGCCAAGGCCCATGTTCAGTCAGAGGGCGCATTGTTAGTGTCCGTCACTAGGACACCAGGAAGGCTGCAGGGCTGGTCCTGCACGTGGCCACAGCTCTGTCTTGTCGCTGAGCTGGGAGCTCCGGCTGGCTGATAAGTTACTCTTTGTAGCTTCAGCTCATATCCTGGTGCCTGGTTTAGAGAGAGGACGTGTCCAATAAATGTTTGCTAAGTGATGAATGCACAATAGCCAGCCATACCTGGGGAATCAGTGCCCGGCTCCATGAAGGCTGTCAGACGAGGCTAAGGTTGTAGAGAGCAGGAAGTGCAGGGAAACTGAGGCAGGTGCTGAGCACCAAGAGTAGGAATATGATTTCTGCAGCTGAAGGTACTGACTGAACCTGGAAACCCTTCAGAAAGGGTTTCTCAAAATTGGAATTAGACCCTTTGGCTATTAAGAGCTGAGCAAACAAGCTCTCCCTAGGGATAAATGTCAAGTCCTCCACTTGGATTCAAAAGTTTACTTCCTCCTCCTATCCGAAAGAAAAAGAGAATTGGCTTAAAAACAGATTGTGTGAAAAAAGAATTGTGGCTGTAGCTGACTGCAAGTTCAGCAGGAGTCTGAAGTGTGGCTTTGAATGAGGCACAGTTCACACAGCTGATGTGTCCATGGTGATCACACACACCTGGCACACATACCTAGACCTTCACGCTCCTCCCAGCCCCATCTGACCACTACCCTGGGGGGAAAGAATACAGAGCCTGTGGTAAACATGAGCAGGGGCGGGTGAGGGGCTGGGATTTGGCAGAAAGGGGAAGGGTTTCAGGGATGCAGGACAGCCATTGGGGTCCTGGGAGTGCCATTTAAGGGACAAGGATGCGCCATTTAAGGGACAAGGGACAAGGATGCGCCATTTAAGGCACGTAGGAGCTGGTTGACGTTGGTTCTGTGATGGGACCCCTGGGGTAGGGGCTGCCAGCTGTGAGCCAGGCTACCCCAAAGAACACTGAACACTGGACTGGGAGTCCAAAGAGCTGGGTTTCTGCTGCCTCCCGCCATGACTCTGGTCTTCACTTCCTTACCTACAACAGTATCTGCCCTGCTTACTCTCCCAGGATGTCACGAGGGCTGTGTGACATGATGTATGTGATACAGCTGTGTAAATTGTAAAGCCCTTTGTAAATAAAGGGCTCTATATTATTCCTGTTAAGAGAGCTCTTTGTGAACTAGCCAGGAGGGCCCAGCAGCCTGCCATCCCTCCTTGGGGAGGCACCACCCCTGGCCTGGTCCCTCCTCCCCCTCAGTCCCCTCCCAAAGCAGCCCATATGTGCATAGCAGGGAAGGACTCACTAGCCCCTGCCTGCTGGAGGCAGAGCACAGCTGCCAGACCTTAGCCAACCAAACTTCAGAGACCCACAGTGGGGAGGTGAGGAAACCCACCTCAGGGGCTGATGGACCGGAAGGAGGCAGTCAGTGACCCACTTCTCCCAGTCTCTGTTCCCTGCCCCTAGCCTCTCCCAGAGACCTCTAAGTTGACCTGAATTCTAGAACTCATTCAACTCAACAATAAGCTTCCAAACACACCATCACTTTCAAATTTTCCCCTTCCCCCTCTGTAAATGGGGGTGTTGTCTTCTTGAATTAGCCCCAAGGTTTAGGCTTTTAGTATAGGGGAGCGCAGCTCAGAATCTGGAAGATGGCTTTACCTCCCCCTGGCTGTGTGACTTCAGGCCATTACTCAACCTCTCTGTGCCTCAGTCTATTAACATGTAAGCCAGTGGTAACTGTGTTTACCTCTAGGATCATTTGTGAGAACTAAGAGAGATACTACGGAGACCCTGCTCTTCACGGAGGTACACAGTAAGTGCTTTTACTATTCTCGCCATTCTGCAGGACTTGGGATTCTGCCGTCACCTCAAAATCCCAGGGCTTTTCTGCAGAGGCGCAAGAGTATGGGGGTTTGTTCAGTCTCCTGGAAATCAAGATCCCATGAGATGCTGCTCCAGGCTCCCTCGGGTGCTTTCTGGGGCTTCAGGGTCTTGGGGTGAGGGGGTGAGTCTTCTTTGACCCGGGAGGGCCCCACTCACACCCCTGACGGGACCCAAGGGTTTGTCCCGCTCGCCCTTCCGCAGGTGCGCCGGAGGAGCGCTGGTCCATGCAGGTACCCGCGGAGGTGAGCGCGGCGGCGGGCGAGGCGGCCGTGCTGCCCTGCACCTTCACGCACCCGCACCGCCACTACGACGGGCCGCTCACCGCCATCTGGCGCGCGCGCGAGCCCTACGCGGGGCCGCAGGTGTTCCGCTGCGCGGCGGCGCGGGGCAGTGAGCTCTGCCAGACGGCGCTGAGCCCGCAAGGCCGCTTCCGGCTGCTCGGCAACCCGCGTCGCAACGACCTGTCGCTGCGTGTGGAGCGCCTCGCCCTGGCCGACGCCGGCCGCTACTTCTGCCGCGTCGAGTTCGCGGGCGGGGACGTCCACGACCGCTATGAGAGCCGTCACGGCGTCCGGCTCCGCGTGACCGGTGAGCGCGCGCGGGCCTGGGGTGCGGGAAACGCGCTCTGCGGGGGAGGGCTGGAGGCGCAATTGCTGTTGCTCTTCCAGCTTTCCAGCCGTGTCCCAAGGGCTTATGAGCTGCCGGCACCGTGCTCACCGCTGGCATAGGCAAGACACCTGTGTCTAAAGCAGGGACCCAAACCCTCTTGTTTGGGGACCGTTACTGGCCGCCTGCAGAATCCTGGGCCCAGGAAGGGCTGGGGAAGGCCCGGGCACGGGCATTGCAGTGAATGAAGCTCAGAGAGCAAAAACGTCCCAACTTGCTCAGTCTAGGCTACAGAAATGCAATAAAACAATCGTAAATGTGGCAAGGGTTGCAATGGGGTTTGTACACTAAAGGACACCCCCAGACCCCCAGGGAAGGTGCATAGGAAGCCCTGCAAATGCTCAGCACTTGGCTAGACCCTGGGGTATAAAGATGGGGTACCAGTACAGTCCCTAGAATGGTGGCAGTCCGCCTGGCCAGGCCGTGGAATTTCCTGTGGAACTTTTAATAATTCTGGACCCCTGCAGTGAGGGACCCAGAGGCTCTTGGGTCCTACAATGGCTGGGCCAAGGAGTTCCACATGGCTTGGGTCGGTTCGGCCACCTCTCTATTTTGCCTTCTTCCCAGTGTCTGCACCTCCTGCCATAATCCCAGAACTCAGATCAGTCTCAGCTCTAGATGCAAGGTGCCGTGGAAACCACACCAGCAGTCAGCCCCCAGCCTGGGACACATTGCAGGCGCATGAGCTAAAAACCACCATTTAGTGAGTCCTTGCTACCAGCCAGGCCCTTGTCCAAGTTATGACCTTGCCAAATCTCAACAACCCAATAAGTGATGATAAGTGATCCCATCCTACACGTGGAGAAACTGAGGCACAGAGCTGAGGAATCGCTTGCCCAAAGCTGTATCTATACGGGGACACAGGCAGCAGAGCTCCCTCTCCATTTCCATCGTAGGGGACAGTCTGTGGTAGCCCTGACCCTTGTCACCGCATACGTGCACTCTAACCACAGTTTACTCTCTCCCCCGACCTCCTGATGGCCACCTGCAGCCGCTCCACGGATAGTCAACATCTCCGTGCTCCCTGGCCCAGCACACACCTACCGCGCACTCTGCACCGCCGAGGGGGAGCCACCGCCTGTCCTGGAGTGGGCTGGCCCTGCCCTGGGCAATGGCTCGGCCACTGGGCTGAGCCTGAGTCAGGGTCACAGCTACCGGGTGACTGCGGAGCTCCCGGCACTGGCCCAGGATGGTCGCTACACCTGCACGGCCACCAACAGCCTGGGGCGTGCAGAAGCCAGTATCTACCTGTTCCGTTTCCACGGTGCCTCCGGGGTCTCGGCGACCGCCTTTCTGCTCGGTGCCCTCTGCTTCAAGGCGCTGCTGCTGCTTGGCGTCCTCATAGCCCGTACAGCTGCTGCCCGCCGCAGCCTAGGTGGGTGCACCTGGGGCCAGGGTGGTGCAAGGGCATAGCAAGGCCGCCCTCTCAGATAAGGCCTCTCAGTGACCACCTGCTTGATACAACCAGAACACCATTTCTGTGCTCCCTGCATCAAGCCCAGGAGGCGGGAACCAGCATTAGCCCATTTTACATCAGAAAGAAATAGAAGAGCTTAAGAAACTTGCCTCTGGCCTGGAGTCTCAGCATTGGAGACCCAAACTCCTCCTCCTAAATGACACTCTGACCACACACAAGCCTTCCCAGTTGGTGCTATTCAGTTATGTTACAGCAGCTCAAGGAGCTTCTATGTGTAAGTAGTAGGAATACAGACACGACTAAGTCCGGTTCCCAGACCTTGCATGGGATGGAACCAAATAACGTGATATGCAGTGAGTAGCCCAGAGTTCTTGCAGGCTGGGGGGTTGATAGGAGCCAGAGGGAAAGCTCTGCAAGGTGAGAGCTACAAAAATACTCCAGGTGAGCACAGGTGAGAACCTGGAGCAAGCGGTGCACCTAACAGAGGGGACAGCGTGTGCAAAGGTGTGGGGTGGAAACAGCAGGTGCCCTTGCTGCGCACTGCTCGGAGGTGGATGGGCGCATGGGGAATTTGCCCTGTGCTCTGCTTGCTGCAGCTTCTCAGACCAGTAGGTCAGTAGAACCAGCCCCAGACTCTCCTGGGAGGAAATCCAAACATTAGCTGCCCTAGTCTGCCTGTGCTGAGAAGGCCACACTGGCCTTCACTGGGCATTCTGGCCTCAGAGTGTGTTTCCCATTGGACTGTTCCTCACTCCACCCTTCTTGACTTCCAAGCTTCTCTCAGATCCCTTCTTCACGTCTTGCAACCTTGCAGTTTATTGCATCTGCCCTTCAGACCCTTGCGGGGAGGGGTGGGCAGCAGGGCTGGCAGCCTGGAGGTGCCATGGAGATTCATGCTCTCGCTCTCTCGCTCTCTTTCAGAGCACCCAGTCGCCCAGGCCACTTCTCCACGGTAAGTGACTACCAATCTCACCCCATTGACCAGTGAGTACAAGCCTCAGGCTGAGGCTTGGTGGCATGAGGAGAAAGAACAGCAAAGTGGGTTCTGGCCTTCGGCAGGAGTCAGGCCCTCCCTGAGGCCGTCCGCTGTGGCCTTGCAAAGCCCTTCCTCCCTCAGCTCACCAAGCTATTCATAGGCCAGACCAGATCACACTGTGCTCGCTGCTGCCACCCCCACAGGGCCCCTGGTTCCCAGCATTTTACTGCTTGGGCCTCCACCACTGGCATAACTCCCAGCCCTGGTGTCAGGCAGGCTATGGGATTTAGTCCATGTGTAACGGGAAGCCCCTCAGTGGTTGGAGGCAGCTAAATGGCCCTATTTGAACAAGAGTAGGGGCTAAGGCCTTGGGAGGGGCCTGTTGAACAAGACTGAGACTGGCTCATGGCAGCAGTGGATGGGGGCAGGCAGAAGACAGGGCTGGCCAGAGAACCAGGTGGGCAGAGCGAGGAAGGGAGGGAGCCAGCGAGGGTGTTGGTTTGGTCCCCAAGCCTGTTGGATCTAGGTCTCTCTGCTCCCTCCTAGCCAGCCTTCCCTACTCCCATCTGTACCTCATCCCCACGCCCCTTGTTGCTGTAACATGATTGGGCAGTCAGGCTGGGTCATCAGCCAACTTTCTTCTGTCTCCAGGCCCCAGGTTCAGGAATCCAATTATGAAAATTTGAGCCAGATGAGCCCCCAAGAGTCCCGGGCCGCCGTGTGTTCACCATGAGGAACCCCTTGGCTGAGGCGAGACAAGGCCAGGCCGAGAAGGCTCTGCAGGCTCCCAGGCACCTTGGAAGCTGGGTGACCCCCAGAGGCGTTCAGGACCTCACCCATACTCAGCGGAGCCCTGTCTCAAGGCCCCCCTGATGTTTATGTCTTAAGGATCAGCATTTTGAAAGTGTGGAATGTGCGTGTGCACATGTGAGCTTCAGCAGGAAACTTCCGGAGAAGAGCCTCTTACCCGTTCTTACCTAGAATGCTACAGGAAAGCAAGCAGCGTGCCGGCCAGAAGTCTGGAGGCCGAGGCTCTAGCTGGGCTTGGGCACCAGCCTGCTGGGTGGCCCAGACCGCTGTCTGGGTCTCAGCTCACCCATGGTTGGACATGCCCACTAATGTTCTTCCCTCCGGTTGACTTTTAGGATCTCAGGGATGATGGGTGTGAAGGGCCTTTGGGAAGCAGTAATTTGCCCGTATATGTGAGGGGCAATGTCGCCTCCACCTCGCAGAGCATATCAGGATGTGTGGTGTTGCCACACAGTGTGGCACCCACACCAGCCTCGCGAGAGAGAAGGTCCCAGAGACCAAGCCTGGGGCTTGGGCCGAACTAACCTGTGGTTCCAGAACCTCAAATCCTGAAAACTCAGTTGTAGGGAGAGGCCGGAAGCCGCTGCCCCTGCATCTCCTGGGTCCCACCTTGTGCCATCTACCACCCTCCCTACCCCCCTCAGGGTGCTCTGCACAGCCCTGGGCTAGGCCCCCCTGGGTAAGAGGATGTGTGGGCGTTGGTATACTTGGTCAACATGGTTCCATCCAGGGCTGGGTGTTAAAAGGTCAGAGGTGCTGGCATCTGTGCCCATTTGTGTGGGGATACTTGGGGGCACCTCCATGGGAGGTGAAGGACACTGGGTGTGTATGTGTGTGAAATACCTGGCTAGTCTTTGAACCAATTTCACAGCCAAGAAAAAAAGTAATTGGAATTATTTATTATATATCTATTTCATGCCAGGAACTGAGGCAGGTGTTGGAGAGACGTGTAGGACACAAATAAGCAAGTATGTGTTAGGCTGGGCTAAGTGGCGCTATGGTAACAAACCCCAATATCATGGTGGCTGAAAACACAAAGGATTTATTCTCTGCAAAGCTACATGTCATCACAGATTGGTGGGAGTCCTGCTCACCACCCTTATTGGGGGCCTGACCCTCAGGGATCCACATCTGATATTGAAGGTTGCTGAGCTGGAAATCAAAAGAAAGCTCCAGAGTGGCCCCCACTTGTGATCATAGTGCACTGGCCAGACTAGCCACACACCCCACTCACCTGCAACAGGCTGGGCAGTGCAGCTTGACATGTACCTGGGAGGAAAGCCGGGATCATCTGCCAATGGCCCTGGCGACTCCACAGTGGTTCTCAGAGTTGTCAGGCTAATGAGTGACACAGAACAGCAAGAGGTCAATCATGCAGAAGCTTGCTGGGGTGCTGTGGGAGCACATGAAAGGGGTCATGGACCCAGCCTTGGAAAGGCTTTCTGGGAGAGGGGAATGAAGATGGTACACTTTGGCCATGCCCATGGAGGAGCGACGGAGAGAAAGGAGGGTGCCAGGCGAGAAAGAAGACACTCTAAGCTGAAGGAGCAGTCTGAGCAAAGACGAGGAGATCTGACCCAGTCCGACGTTTGAATAGCTGGAAGATGCTCGAGCATGGACAGAGCGGGTGCCAAGGGAGTTGGGTGCCGAGGTAGCTGGTCCCCTTTCAGGTTACTTTCAACCTGTAACCCCCACACCTTGCACTGCGGCTGGGGCTTCCTGAGTTATGGGGTAGCCTGCCATCAGGACACCTGCGTGCTCAGTGTATGACAAGGGAGGAAAGCACAATCCCCCACTACACATGGCCATGGAGCACACTGAGACTCCCTGGGCTTTCCAGGGTCTGGCCCCCAATCTTCCTCCTCCACAGTCTGTCCCTAAGTCCTGTCTGTCAGTGACCGCAAAGGGTCGCCAGCTCTGGATTGCCCAGGGGAGTCCTGGTGGAGACACTCGCCTTCACATTCCACCAAAGGCTGCTGCTGTGACCTGAGGTGGGAAAGGGGGAAGGGGAGGGGAAGTGTAGGAGGGGAAGAGGCCTTAAGGTCAAGAACTTGGCAGGGAGCAAGTAAACCAGGAAAAGCTGAGTTTCCAGGCTAAGTCTGGCCTAAGCCATACACTTAAGACTGTCAAAACACAGTATATGCATCACTTCAGCATGACCAGGAGTAAGTCTGTTTCCTGAAAGGTTTAGGCAGGTAAGGGAGGGCCAGGTGGGGAGAGCTGCCCCCAGAAGAGTGTTTTTAGAGGAGTGTGGCTTTTTTTATCCTTAGATGAAGCTCAGTGACCCCTTGTGACACAGGCCACTTCTAAGCCACTCTTGGGAGTGCCCCAGCAAGGAAGCCTACACTACGAGCGACAGCTAACTTCTGCCACATCCCAACCCTAAAATACTGTAGCCCTATCTGGACAAGGACACCAAACCCAAACAAGAGTGGGGAAGAGCATAAGCCTTATAAGGTTTGCGGGGTCCCAGGTTGATGCCAACCTCCAGTCAAATATGCAGACCCTCCCACCATACTTTGCCCATTTAAAGTTAATAAAGATGAACACTAAGGAAGAACTCCTGACATCCCAACACAGGAAGTGTTTCCAGAACAGCCCATGACCAAGGATGGGGCTGAAGTACCCGTCCCACCCCCCAACTCAGCAGTGGGGTCTTCATGGAGCTTCACGTCCCTCCTCCCACCATGACTGGGGCTCCAGTGAGCTGTCTGGAGTCACTAGGTCTTGGATGTCAATATCTTACACTCCCAGATTTTCAATTCTCATAGTAAAATGTCACAGAAAAAAATTCTACCCATTATAAACTTCCTAATGGCACATTTTTCTTTGTGAGATTCCTGGATAAAAACACCTGCCAACCAACTACCCCAAAATGAGACATGTCTGCCATGAGTAAATTAAATCTAATTTATTTGCAGAAATTTACTTAACCAATTCTTATGTTTCTCATCATTATATAAAAATCCACCCTTTGTACAAGCATGTAAAATTCTGAACAATGTGTAGGAAATGGATATTGCACATTTAATGACAGGCAGGCAGGAAGAGTTGAACACACTTGAGATATCTGTCACTATGTAAGTGATTTTAAGTCACTGAAAGAAAAACTAACTCTGAGCTCTGAGTGCTCGATGGGAGTTTTCATCTGTATATTAAAAAATAGAAGTTATAAATCAACAGTTTTCCTTATTGATTTAGTTATCCCCAAAGTTTTTTTTTTCAAGTTGTCATCAGAAATCAGGAACCTAATCAGAACCTATTCAGACTGAAGAAAATATTAATTCTGGTCTCTACAGAACATCTTGTGCCTAGATTTGAGGCTCATCACAGACCTGACTTAGGAACTCAGTGCAGCAGACCCAGAAGCCACTGGAAGATGACAGGGGACACATTCATAAAACACCAACCATGCAGTATTGTGATTCATTTTGCTTAAGAAGCAGAAAAATGATCATCTACTACCTCCAATAAGCTGCCAAGGTGGCCCCAAGTGAAGGGCCATTTCAAGGTTAGTGCAAAGCGGCCCGTCTTTAGACCGGTGTTGCAGGTAGGTGAGACTGATGCCTGATGGACATTGGAGTTCAAACGTGGCAAACCCCACAGGGCATAGCTGCTGAGTGGGAGCCGCCAAGTATCCAGGGGCAGGAAGGCCGCACTGCTAGTCCACACTGGGAGGCCAACTGCCGGGCCAAGGGTGAGGGCACAGCACCAAAGGCACATTCTCTTGGTGCCTGCAGGCAAGTGGCAACTTGTGGCCTTGGTCCTCCGAGTCCTGGGCAGTCCTCTTAGAATATGTAGCATTTCCCCCAAATGTCGCCTTGTTGCCTTGGTGGGCGGAGATGACCAACTGGCATTTTGCCTGAAGGGGACTAAAGGGTGGGCAGAGGTGGGGGCAGAGATGTGATGGTGTCTCACCTGAGAAGCGAGGGCAGCCTTAGCCTGGCTTGCTACTGCAGATCCCTGAGCGGGTTAGCCGGAGGCTGAGGCCAGCTTGAGCTCCAAAGTAAGTACAAACAGCTAGCCAATGGCAGCCTGGGCCTGTCTCCCAGGGCTGGGACAGCAGGCCAGGAAAAGGGGGAGGAGAGTGAAGGATCAGGGTTGGGCTGGCACTTGGCTGAAGCCAGGACAGGCTACTCTGGGGGCGGGGGCTTTCCTCACTTCCTGAAATCTCAAGGAACTGAAGCTGATTCAGGCATAGCCCTGAGGAAGAGGATGTGGCTAAGCAAAAGGAGTTGTGCCTGGGGCCAAGATTCTTGTGTGTCCTGTAGCCAGGCACTTGTAGGGTTGGGGGCCTGGTTCCTGTCAGGCTCATCACATACATCTGCAAAACTTCTGCCTCAGCATCCACACCTTCATTTCCTGCCAGTGTTTGCTTGTTGCAGTTAACGGTTGCGATCAAAAGAAGGGGGAGAGCAGATGAGATGCCGCTCTGACCAGTCCTCTGTGTAGTACAGTGGGGACACGAGTGGAGAAGCAGAGAGGTACATTTCGTGGTGTCCAGGAAGCTGCTACACATCTCTCTGAACCGGAAGTACTAAGGGCCACACGTGGGCATGGTTTGCCACATACACCCATTCACCTTCCATGTTGCTGGGCACAGATGCAGTTGGTCTTGCTTGATCTGGGTATTCATATGCGGTGCACGTAAGTCCTAGAACTGCAGCCTGGGATCTCTGGAGGCTGGTGTTCCTGAAAGCCACTGCCAGTGCTGTTCTGTCTGCCAGGGCTATTCTTTCCCAGGAGGCTACAGCAGCCTTGCCAACTTCTGAAATATTTTGGTGTCTTTCAATCACTTTCTTAAACCGGAGCCTCTCAGAGGAGCCTATATAGTTGCTGACCTCAAATAGAAGCAATCAGTTATTCCAGTAACAAGTTTACTAGGAAACAGATGAGAGGGCCGATTGGCAAATGGGTGTTCATGGCGAGAACACCCATTGGCAAATGGGTGTTCATGGCAAATGGGTGTTCATGGGCACTTACCCAAATCCAAAGCTAACTACCTCTATACCTCTGGCAAACCCACCCCCAGTTCCACAGGAGGGGAAAATGGTTGTCCCTTGGGAGATGCCAGGCATGTGGGGTGCTACAGTCTGACAGGTGTGCTATGCGGGCACTCTCTAGCCTCCTGGCCTCATTAAATTGGGGTTCTGAACATTGCTGTTCACAAGGTGAGCACACCTTCAGGTTGTGAATCAGAAAGGAAGCACTGTTCCTAACCATCTCTGATAATCAAGTTATAGTCAGATGACATCAGGCATAAAATCTGCACCAATTCGACCAACTGAAATATTTCACAAGATAGTTTACTCTCTCTAAAAATCGAATTCTTACCAGTTACAACCAAAGATTGATTTTATTTTTTTATAATTTTTTACAGTCCAAAGGCATTATAAATATTATAAACCTTCAAAAATTAACAGATTAATCATAATTTTTTTAAATGTACATACTTCACTCAAACATTTCACATTCTAGGATATCAGTAATTCCATCCTCCTCAAAGAAAACAGCACACAAAGAAGTTCCTGTCGTAAAAGCTGTGTTGCCAAATCATCTATTAATCTGTCCACAGCATCTAAAATTATCCCACTGACAGTGCGGGAAAGATCACTGACCTGGAACTGGAGGAGAGCAAACGCCAGGAGAGCTGTGACATGCCCTCCAGCAAGCTTGGGGATCAGCAGGCAAATCTTTATCAGCTATGTCTGTGAGGCACAATTGTTCTATCCAACTAAACAAATTTCACATAAAGCATGACTCCTGCATGCTTCCAGATGGGAGGAAGCACTCCAAAAGGATATTTGGAAAGCAATTATCACTCCGTTAATTGGCATCCTTCTCTCCGCTTAAAGCTCTCTGTGGCTGTTTATAGACATTTTCAGGTGACTGTCCTTGGCTATAGATAACAACAAAAGACAAGCTGGACAAACGGAATCAATTCTGAGGCTATGGTATTACAAATATGATGAAGGAGGCAAACTGCTAATTCCTGAGGAAAATAACAAGAGCACAATGAGGCGACAGAATGAGGCAATGTTACAGGCTTTGGTAATGAAGATACATGGCTACTGGAAATAGCAAATTTCATTTTCGGTTTCCGATCCTGACCCAGTTTCCATGGACAAGTGTTTCAACAGGTTTGCTAGCTTCATCTGAGTCTAACTATGGAGTGGAGCAACGCAGGGAATAGAGAACTGAGTTCTTAACAACTGTCCATGGCTGTCTGTCAATGCAGGGCCTTCCAGTACCAGACTTGGTGTCTAATGGGGGTTACTAGCTTAAGAGGTCTCCGGGGGCTGAAGAAGTGAGGAGAATAAGGGGATGGGCCAGGGCAGGACCAAAGAGAATTTAAGTCTGTGGTGAACTGGAGTAGCGCCAAACAAAACCCACACTGTGCGCACCCAGCTGCACCAGGTGGCTGGCGCTCTACGTGAGGACACGCAGCTGGGTGGAAACAAACTGGTCACCATCTCTTCAGTCCAGTGGATCATGTGGCCATGTTTTGGACAATGACTCACAATAATTCAACATTTTTATCTTTCATTTGATTGAAATAATACAATAAATATATATTTCCCCCCAAAATGTGGGAAATATGTTGCCCCACATTTGAGATGTACAGAAAAGTCCAAAGCTTGTTTTACTTGAAATATGGGTTTCAAAGGTAAGGGTTCTACATGATTCCTAAAGTAGTTAGATGTGGCACAGGAGTCTTAACATTTAAATAAATAGAAGGAGAGAGAAATGGAGACACAAAAGAACCCCACCTTGGGGTCTGGTGAGATGACTAGGCTATTTGGCAACTGTGAGTGGCTCTGAACCCAAGTGGAACTTAGTACATTTCTCTTGCTGGATGAACATTAACACATGAACACACACACACACACACACACGTGCACATGCACAACAGAAATATTTAGTGCCGTGCAACTTGCTTCTCGGCCAACTCACCCACTGGCCAAACTGAGTTCAGCAGTTAAGTGAACGAGTGAACAAAGTTACTTGTGCAACAGCAAAGTCACATGTAAACATAAACAGCAACGGGGTTTTCAAGAGCCTCGGTGTTACTATCACTATCGGATGTTGTCCAAATAATGCACTTCTGGATAAAGACAGTTAACAAGAAGAGCCAGAAGGCTTTTCCCATCTTGGAGGCAATGGCCAGGATGCTTTATAAATTGTGTGGCCTGCAATATCTGGTCCTGGTATTCGACATACTGCTTATTTGATGTCAGGGATTCAAGAGCAGCCAGAGCCTGAAAAACATGGAGACGAGAGGGTTAACCACATGGACACATGTAACGTGACTCCCACAGGCAGAGCGCACCCAACCATCATCAGCTCCGACCACGAGCCTCCTGGGCTCAGCAGACTCAAAGACAAACTCCCCCACCAGAGAGAGGCCAGAGCCCAGGCGTCTTGTCTCCCTCCCACTCCAACCTCCCACCCTTCCAACTAGTGCAGTTTCCTGGCTTCACTGCGGAGAGCCCCTGGCCATGCTGGAGGTAGTTCCGTCCGTCTCCTCCCCAGTCCCAGGATGGAGGATCCAACCCCTCCCCTGCATCACCTGCTCCCCGTCTTGGAGATCACAAGAACCAGTTGTCTGTGAGGCCAGTAATAGTTTACTGTTGGGTTTGTTCTCACGTTACAAGGTAATACTGTAGTAAGCTGTCTAACTAGGTGAAATTACAAAGAAAGAAATGTTTAAACGCTGCTGAAGGTGACGGAAAAGGTCTTTCTTATCTATCAACAAACACAAAGGAGAGATCAAGTTCCTCCAACTTCACCTGACAAGTGGCACAGAAATGATGAAGAAAATGTTCCCATGCCTCTCTTCCAAGGAATAAAAAAAAAAGAAAAACATTTTTTAATTCTATTGTTTCCTTTCTGCATAGTAGGAGAAGAGAAGAGAAAGAGACTGTGTATGGAGAAAACAAGCAAAAATCAGAACAATGGTTCTTGGGAGCTGCAAGTTCTGTTTTTCAAGCATACAAGCTCAGCCCTGCCCCTAGGATTCTCACCATGTTCCCCCCTTCCAATGGGGCACTTAATATTTTGGGGTTGTGAGGTCCCCCAATAATTTGGGGGCAGTCACTGCACTAGAGACTATACAGTAAAAGATGGAATTTGTTTAGTTAATAGGGAGCTGGCCCTTGAAAGGACTGCTGGGGAGAAGAGGCAGGCCAATGGTCCTGGGGGCTGCAGCCAAGGCAGAGCGGAGCTCTCGTATAGGCGGACACTTCCCAGACAATGCAGTATTGTGCTGACTCCACCCAGCCCTGGAAGACTCATCTGCCTGCTAGTGATAGTTCACGTAAGACATCAGGGATTCAAACAGCGATTGTCCAGTCAGCCCTGGATAAGTATTGTAGAGACCCAAAAGCCTACAAAGAGCTGCCAACTATACAGCTTGATCCTTGGTGACACTGCATGCAGCAAGCTCAGACCGTAGAGTTCGAAAGAAAAAGAGCCGAGGGTCACCACTTACAGAGGTAACACTGCAGAGAGACAGGAGAGTGAGCCTGCGCCAGACTGGCCAAGGGAATTCCACCCCGCACTTAAAGTTGTGGGGTTTGGGACAACTGACTCAGCCCCACCATTTCTCCATTTCCTTACTCACAAGTCCAGGGTAATAAAAGTCTATGTTAGAGGGCTGTTAAAAGGATAAAATTAGTTATAATTTTTAACTCATTAACATCAAATGGGTTAAAACTTAGAACAGTGCCTGGCATGTAATAAGCATTCAAGAATGGTGACCACCACATAGACTGTAAGTCACTGAACCAGCCCGCCTGTTCACAGTTAACAAAACAGTTAAAGGAGTGGGACTGTGCCATGCTGAACTCCACACGTTCAGCACCAACTACAACTTCTCGCTCACAGCTTCCACCTGTCATGTTAGGTTATTTCAATTTCAACCAAAGGTGGACAATCTCTAGATGCACAACACTACAACCATTCCTTCGTTCCAAACAAGCACTCAGCCTGCCTCCGTGGTGCTCAGCCATGGTCCATCTTCTGTGTCAGGCCCCAGCGCCAGCAAATCAGCACACAGGCATGTTCATCAGAACCAAACTGGATCACAGCCAGGGGCCGTGACCTCGCCTCTTCTACAGTGGTAGCAATGGGGCTCCAGGCAAGCACCTTTATCAGACCTGCTTTCCAACCCGAGGCAGTCACATGTGGTGACCACCTTCCGGTCAGTAGCGCACACAAAGGGCACCAGCCGCTGCAGACCACCATCCATCAAGCGCAAAGAGAAGCTGCCCCCCTAGCTCCAGAGGAAGGCCTGTTGGAAAACGTCTACCCCTCACTTGTAAGGCTTTTTAAGGCTTTTACTGACCTGCTGTGCTTTCAGAGACAGATGTAATTCAGAGCTGGGTTTCAAACGGATCTGATCGTCAGCAGGAATCTGAACTGAGAGGAAGGCGGCCATGCCCCGGGCAACCACTCGGAACCTTGGTGTTAGGCAGAGGTCAGACAAAGGAAGGGATTATTAAAATAACTATGTTAAAAATGAGCACCAATTTTTTCATTAAAAAAAAAAAAAGAACAGGATAAACACATTTCCAGACCTACTACTATTAGTCTCTTCAGGAAAACTTAAAATATGCTCAACAATATAATTTCACCCAAAGAATGGAAGCATAATTCAAATTAAAAAATGAAAGTGTTGGCAAAGACATAGAATAACTATCACACATTGCTAGCGGGACTTACAAGATGGTACTGGCAATGTGGTAAACAGCTTGGCAGTTACTCAGTTAACACAAAGGTGCCATATAACCCAGAAATTCCACTCCTGGCTGTATACCCAGAAGAACTGAAAACAATTGGTTTAACAAAGACCTGTAAAAAGTTTCACAGCAGCACTATTTACAAAGGCCAAAAGATAGAAACAACCTAAATGTCTTATCAACTGGAGATCAGTGTGATATAGCCATACATGGAGTAGCCCCTGGCTGTAGAGACATAATGAAGTACTGACACAGGCTTTAGTTGTTTTAACAGGAGTCCAGGCTAGAATATGGATGAGCCTTGAAAGAAGCCACATATGATCTGATTCCATTTACATGAGACACCCGGAACAGGATATACAATAAGTCAGAAAGCTAAGGGACTTCAGAGACTCGGAGAAGGAAACGGGAGACTGTTCAGTGAGTACAGCATTTCATTTTGGGGTGATGAAAATGTGTTGGAGCTAGACAGTGGTGGTGGATGCAACAATGTGAATGTACTAAATGCCACTGATTTATACCTTTTAAAAGGGTTATCATGATAAGAGTTTTCGTTACATGTATTTTTCTACAATGTAGGTGACTCAACATCACACCATCCTGCTATTCTACCATAAAGAAACATAACTGTTTGAACTGGGTGGTTCCCAAAATTGCAACAGGATGGGCTATTCCAGAAGACTGTTAACATCAAACTGACAGGAACTCTTTTCAACACAGAGGAGGGCTTTAAGAGAAAAGCATGATACAAATAATAATTGTGAGATAAAAATGGGAGACTAATGGCAAGTTCTTTCATGCTTTACAATTCTTAGCGACAAAAACCTAGACTTGTTTCTCACTTACCCTTCTTATCAGTTAACCTGAAATCATCCTGATTTGACAGCTCTACTAGCCTATGTCTCACATGGGCCTTGGATGAGACTGATAAAGTGCTTCAGTGAAGCGGCTGACTGAAGTAATTTAAACTCATATTGTACACCACCACTGGCTCAAGTCAAAAGGAAATCAGTAGTGCAGTCAGGTTACAATGTCAAAATACAACAGTATTGCTAAAATAAATTTCACTCAACATACAAATGTCTTAAAATAAAACCTATGTTTTAAACTATAAAGGTGTCATCAGGCTCTGATAATGTTTTCATTAATCTTTGGGAAGATCCTAGCTCCTAAGTTGGAAAACCCACCAGCCTATCACACCCTGGGCATAGAGACACCTGGGCCCTCATCCAGAGCAGCAGCAGGTGCTTCCTTACCTGTTAGACAAGGGCGACTTCCGGCCCAACCCAATTGCCCCAAGAATCCCGGAGCTCAGCCTTTCCTCGGCCACCAGGCTTTGCCTGCTCTGAAGCATGAGCAGAATGTGAATGACAGAGCCTGTCATGACCGTGTCATTCTGCTCCGCCTGAATCAAGGACAGCTGCAGGACTTGGTGCCACCACAAAAACAGCTTTGCTTCTTCCTGCACAGAGCTGGGGCGGGGCCAGGAAAAAAGAAAATTGTAAGTGGATTTTTCCCACTCCCATTTAACTGATGGTCCACACTGAGTTTGAAGTAGAGAGAACATACTTTAAAATCGTGGGCTGACAGGTAAAATGCCCATAGAGTAATGGGACTGTACCATTACCACTTACTGACAGCTGCCTATGGGCTCACTGTGTGTGAGCTTATGTTTTCCCCTAATCCTGATAACAGCTCTAGGAGGTACAGATTGTTACTCCCCCTTAGCCCACAAGTTAATTAGCTGTTGATGATTCAAAACACCTGTTTTAGGAAGTAAAAACCCTGCTCAAAAAATTGGCCCATGCAAATCAAAATCTTTCTAAACCAGTGTCACTGTCCCTCATAACCTTGTTTCTTATGTATCACTTGGTTCCATGCACTTAAATGAACCTTTACTGAAATCCCAAATTCAGTGTCACCCAAATACAGTGAGAGACACAGCAGTCAGGGGGACAGCATACCTGGGATACACCTGTTCCAACCACTTGCTTAAGAGGAACAGCACCTTCATTTCATTCCTCAGGGTCTGCTCGCTATTTAAACACTGAAGCAAGTAGACGTAGAGAGTCAGGTAACTGCCAAGGGACAGACACTCCTGCAGGAATTCTTCCATGGTGAGTTCAGGAACTTGGAGGGATACCAGAATTGGACCCCATCCTAAATTCTGATTGGGGGAGCCTAAGAAAAGAGTACCAAAAGGAGACAGCAAGTTTAAAGTATAAATCTTTCCACTTAACCACTCTATCACATCTTTCCAGCTCAAGTTTAACGTCCACCTTGGTGGAGAGGCCACAAAGGCGACATACACCACACAGAGCAGACCAGACAGGTGCCTGCCCCCAGACCGGCCCAGCCAGTCACCATGGAAGGCTATGACTTTGTAGTTCAGTGCGTTCTTGTAAATAATCTTTCACATCATACTATGAACATTAAAACCCCATGTGAGACACTGCTTGTACCAGTGACCTAAGAGCCTTAATTTCACCTAATGTCACTGTTAGTACGTCATGAACACTCACGCTCTCCCAGAGGAAATGATCATCATTCCATCCATCAGAAGTATTTTTACTAATCAAAGTTTAATTTGGTTCATGATAAAACTAGAAGCTTAGCTTGGTTCATGATAAAACAATAAAAAAAAATTTCTAATGAAAATTCACCTTTAACAGGTGACAAGCCTTATTACACAGGCCCTGGTCACAGCATTTGTTTTGAGATCTGTGACTAGGTGCGTGGCAGTAAGGACCTGCCCATCCTAATGCAGCTGGTGACACCAAGCCACAGACTCTCAGCCAACTGCAGACCTTTATAAAAAAGATAAACTGTATTCTGAAATACCAACATCTGCAGTGAAGTGAAAGTGTGTTTCAGTACCTCATGGAAAGGGGTCAGGAAAGCTTCTGACCAAGCCTTAGCCTTCCCTAGAAAGGAACAATCTTATCAGAGTCTACTTCTTACCTTCTTTGAAGTAGGCAGTGATGCAGGCTTCCGTAGTCTCAGCCATGTGGCGGACGGAAGCCAGGCTCTGGCAGGCTGCTGTTAAAAGGGGCAGCACGACCAGCCCGTGCACCTTCTGCCCGATCCAGGTCCGGATACTGCCACGCAGGAACTCTGCCGTCGGAATAGTGGCATTGTTCATCATCATGAGGACTTCCATAAAGAGGCTGCTGAGGGCCATGTGGCGCGCTTGGCTGTCCATGTCTGAAGAGGAAAATAACACAGCTTACCAAGGCCGCCAGATGGCAATATGACTGTGGGGGGGTCGAGGGTGAGCAAGCTTCGATCTTAGCTCTTCTCCAGGCACACCTTACTAGTGGCTGATTTCAGGGGGCCAAAAAGGATGACTCCGGATGGTATTTAGCTTTTAAGAATAGGACGCGGCACCCAAATACTGTGTAAGAGCAAAGTAGTTCACAGAACTACTGCTTGATCCTTGGGTATAGAGTGTGGCACAGCAATACTTCAGTAAACTGAACTGTCAAGCTGGTGCAAAAGAGAAACTTATTCATCAGCACATGCTTAATTAGTCATTACTTTCCAATCTCTGTTCATTAACCAAAGAGATGCTAAAAGGATGCCAGCAACGTTTGGTAAAGTACATCCACCTCCACCATTGCCAAAGCCGTGTTATCTAGAGCAATTTCCAAGGAACACCAGTTAATATGCAAAACTAGACAGAAAAGAAACTTCTTAAAGGCTTCTAACAGCAGCTCTTGTGCTTTTTAAATAAGAAAACGGACAGTATAAATATAAAAAAAAAAGAAAAATGGATATGGATAGTATAACATCATAATTATGTGTTTTTCCAAAAATTTGAGGCAAAAAGAGAATACAACACAAGAAAAGGCAAATTTATAAATGAGCTATAAATGAGTACTTTACTGAGGAAGATTCCTTCATCACATCCCAAAACAGAAAATACATTTCTGTGTGTGGAGAAAACTAGTCAATCTATTGGCACAACTTTTGCCAATTATTTCTAGCTGTCTCTCCACAAGGAAAGAAAGTATTTCTGTCAATGGAAGTTGAAAGATGTTAGTCATCAAACCCATAAATTCACCCATTTGCACCCTAACTCAATATGACTCTAAGATCTCCTTATTATCAAGTAAGGGCTTTTTTAAAAAGAGCATGAGAAAAAATGTTAACAGCATATGTGTGTGACTATGTATTTTTCATGTATTTCTATACATATATTTTTGGTAATGAAAGACCTTATCTTTGAATTTCAGCTAAAGAGTAATTTTATCTTTTAATTGGAACTTGTAGGAACAAAAAATACTGCAAAAAGCCTCCAGATAGATCCCAGCTTCTCTCCTATTATTCATCAACATGGTTTCTTAAAAACCAGATTTGATCCTATCACTCTCTCATTAAGATCTTTCTCATCCACCCTTCTCTCTGTAACCTGGCCAGCAATTATTCAATTTTCCTGGCCCAATCACGTGTACTAAAAAGTTTCTCTAGTATTGCCTGCTAATTTTTATTTCCTTTTTTCTTTTCACAATCACTGCGTGTTGTTGACTTGCCAACCTGGTACAAACTTTAGTTCGTTACTTCATTCCATATTTACAATATCTATTCAAAACAGAGATGATAATCACCATCTTGCAGATGAGGTTATACAACTTGTTCAAGGTCACATAAGTGGTGAAGCCAGACAGTCTGTTTCCAGAATCTGTATTTTCAACTACCAAATTACATACCACCTGTGAGAAATTTGTATTGTGGATATGTTTAAGAAATTTCAGCTGACATTTTTGTTTGCCAATTGCAACCAACTCCAATAGCCACACCAGTTTTCTATTACTATGTTTACCTACATATTACAGTTACCTATGTTCAGTAGGTCTTTAATTAAACAGAAATGTCTGAGAGTTCATCCATGTCATCGCAGACTCTACAGCCAGTGTAGCCCATCAGTTGACTATATAACCATTCAGCTCTTCTCCTGAACCCCTCGGATGCACAGCTACAGGCACTGTTCATGGTTCCAGGGCACGTGCCAAGGGGCAGAATTCTGGGTAATGGGATGTGCAAACCGGATGATGCTAACTTTTTAAAATGGTCCTACCAATTTACTCTGTGTTCAGAAGAATCTAAGAGTTACAGAAACCCATATCCTTGTCCATACTTGGTATTAAAAAGGTTTTTAATTATTCTGGTGGATGAGTCATATCATGTCCAAAAGGTTCTAATTTGCATTTCCCTGAATATTACAATCTGCTTTTGCTATTCAGATTGGTAATCTGGATATTCTTTTGCACAATATTAATTCTACAAAATTAATATTACTGGGTGGTTTTTGTTTTTTTGTTTTTTTAAGTAGATTGTCTTTTTCTGACTTGTTTTATCAAATCAAGATGATAATTTTCAGTCATCCATACTTACTGTAACTCCTGCCAGAACTGGGGCTAAGCCCACTGTCTTACTGTCTGCTTTCTATTTGTCCATCCTATCCTACATTCTCATTTAGTGGGGGAGTTAAACACTTTTAATCTTCTTATAAATTACAACATGTATTCTTTATTTTTCAAAGTACATCACCTGGTTCTCAGAATGCAAGGGCTTTGAAACATTCTAATTCCTTTCACTTCTTTTGCTGTTGTTATAACTCAATAAAACATTATGATTATTATTGTTTGATACAATAAGGTTTCATTGAGATTTATTAGTTTCATTGTTCTTCATCCTTAGTCTCTTCCTTTTTATCTTCTCTCTGTTGTTTTTTCCCCTTTTGCAGTCTTTAGATAAATTTTGCTGTTGTTTTAAACTTCTTAAGCTGGATTCTTATCAGGTCTCTTAGTTTTTGAAAAGTCTATTAACAAGCAAGTTCTGATGCACTGCTTTTCTATCCAGTTCTAAATATTTTAAATTTAAGTTAAGTTACGAACGTTGCTAGGGTCATCAGTTATATAAAAGATTGCTTCTTAGGCCCTCCCTGGTGGCACTGTGGGTTAAAGCACAGCACTATGAAGCTAAAGCCACTTCAGCATGAGTTCGATCACCAGCCCTGGAAGTGACCCACATGGCATGGCAGACCTCTCCTGACCCGCCCGCTGCTCCCCTCAGCAGTGTACTTTGTGGATCTGCCTGTTCTGCTCCCCACTCTGTGTCTGGTGAATCCTCTCACCCTCCACATCTCTGGCCTGTACCCCAGTTCTGTATGAATAAATAAATCTTAAAAAAAAAAAAAAAGATTGATTCTTAACTTTCAATTTATAGTCCTTAGTGTTTGCTTTTTTAAACTCTTAAATGCACAGCTGCAGTTTTATATGTCCAATTTTTACATATATTTATCCTTATTTCACCAAGAGCACAGCTAATCTTTTCTTCTTGAAATTCAGTTTTTTACATGTGATCACTCTACTTCTACCTATAGAACTTGCTTTACTATTCCTGTTAGTGATACCTACTGAGACAAACATTTAGTTTTCAATGAAAATATCTTATTTCATCTTTATCCTTGAAAGCTTTCCTTAGTTTACAATTCCAGGTTACAAGTCATTTCCTCACAGTACAATGAAGTTGTTGTTTCACTGTTTTATAACTTCCTTTATTGCTGCTGAAAAATTGGCTGTCAGTGTAAATGCCGTTCCTTTGTACGTAATCTGTCTTTCCTTCCTGGGCGTAAAAGTTTCTTCTTTGTCACTAGTGCTTCTGCAGTCTCACTACAGCGTGCACAGGTGTGAATTTCCTTGTATTTACCCTGCTTGGGAGTCACCGGTTTACTAAATCTAAGGATCGTTGTCTTCATCTGCCCTGGAAAATCTTCAGCCTGGCTATCTCACCTACAATTCTGTCTCCCCGATTCTGGAATTCCCACCTGATGATTGGACGCGCTAAGTCTTCCCAGCTCATCCTTGATATGCCCTGACTTCACTGTTATACTCTGTCTTTCTCTGAGGTGCATTCCACTAGTTTCTTCAGATCTATTTTCCAGCTTATGAGTTTTCTCTTCAGATGGGTTGAATCTGCTTTTAGGTTTATCTATTTATTTATCCATTATGTTTTTATTTCTAGGATATGATTCTCTCTCAAAGCTACCTATTTCTACAATCCCTTACTATTTACTGATATTTTCAAACGTCTCATTTCATCAAATCTATTTTAAAAAATCACTTTAGTTTACTGGACTGACTATTCCAGTAAGTCTTCGTACGTCTGACTGGCTGACCACTGTTCTCTTGTGCTGCCAACTTTTCTTTTTTATTTTCAGCTATCAGTTCTTGGCACTCTGAGACCTGACTTGGAGATAGGTCTCTCCGAAGAGGATCTACGTTTGCTTTCTTTGTCGCTGGTCCTTCTGCAGTTTCACTAGCACTAAGCTTAAAAGTATGCTACTAACCTGAAATTATCTTCATTAAATGCCCAGGTTAAGGTATATGGGGACATTTTAGTTAGTATAAATGTGTGCCTCATGAAGCACCAAGCACAGACCCACATGAAGGTCAGTAGGTACTTGCTAATTTTCAAAAGAGGTGTCTGTTCCCTCACTACAGACATTTGGCCCAATAAATACTGCCACGTCCCCTCCCGCGGTGCCTAAGTGAGAAATCCTTAGAGCTTGGCACGGTCAAGATACCGGGCACACGGGAGGAATACGTGGCCCTCCAGGAATAAAAGAATGGCTGATTCTTGAATGGTCACTGTAACTTTTGATTTGTTTCCTGATTCTGCTGACACACAACGTACTAAACCAAAGAAATGTTATGAACACTGTGCTTCGTTCTAATGATACTCTTGAAAGGATTGTAGCCTCCTCTGTTCTCGATATTGATTTAATTCTGAGAAACTTTTCTACAATCTTTAATTCTATTAAACTATTAACTCCTGTACACCAGGTGGCTTGTGAAAAAAATGGAGAGAACAATTAAAAGGATTAGCAAGGCAAAAGTGCTAGATAGGGCATTTGTTTAGCACCACTGAACCTTGAATACACAATGGTTTCTCAGGGCCCCAGGTTGGTTTCGGGCCCCTGACGACATCTCAGAAACAATAAAAAAAATGTATTATCTGTCACAGTTCTATTGAAACAATCATTGTACCCCTATATTTGCTTGCCAAGAAAAATTGTATAAATGCTCTGCACTCTTAAAAATAAATTACATTCAGGCCCTCCCTGGTGGCGCAGCGGGTTAAAGCACAGCACTAAGAAGCTAAAGCCACTTCCGCATGAGTTCGATCCCCGCCTGCCCCGAGGAGATCCACAAGGCGTGGCAGACCTCTCCTGACCCGCCCACTGCTCCCTCAGCAGTGTACTTCGTCCATCTGCCTGTTCTGCTCCCCGCTCTGTCTCTGGTGAATCCTCTCACCCTCCGCATCTCTGGCCTGTACCCCAGTTCTGTATGAATAAATAAATAAATCTTAAAAAAAAAATTACATTCAGATATGCACTCCTAGAAGTCGTGTCTGTCTGTCTGTCACTCAACCTCCTCCTAGTTCACCCTGCGCCAGAATTGCAATCCCTGAAACTTGTCTCCTGCTCCTGCTGCGCTGGTCCATGGCAAAATACCATGGTCAAACAGATGAGCATCTTTGCTTACCTGTCAAAGAGGAACTTTATTTCAAGCTCCTCCTAACATGGAGGAAGCTAGTCTGTGATTAGGCACGGGGCCTCCTTCAAGGTGCCCATCTTAGGCAGGCACTGTGCTTTCTCGTGCACACAACATTTTTACCCCCATTTTGAGAAATTTCAGAAAAGCGTTCAAGGTCAACCAGGCTCGTAACTCCATTTGCCTCTATGGTTTCCTCCTTTAATTTAAACTCTGACTTCTGAGATGTTTTTGCCACCTCATTAATAAGTTTGAATTTTATGTTTCTTAAAAACACTTGGTTCAGTATTCTTAGTTGCTTTCAGGATGGCTAGTCCACCAGACTGCTAAGAGCACAAGTTCTCCACATGAGTTCTTCACAAGTCTATAGGTGATGCCAAAGTGCACTCCCAGTTAGAAGCCAGAACATCAAGGAATGCTGCTCATCTCTTAATCATCAAATCCAGTCATCTAATTGAGCCCTCAGTCCAGTTAACCTCACGTCAGCATCTTATCATGTAATCCCCTCCTCAAGGTCTCAGTGTTCATGCCTTCCCCACTGAGGTGACACTGTGTCCCTAGGTCCACTCATATTTCTAACCGCCACTTCACTGGAAAGAATTGCGGGTCTTGATAACCTCTCAATGTCACAAGACCTTTTACAGTAGGCCTTCACTACTGACTGAACCCACCATTTCCAGTGGTCACTTACCAGGCGGGTTAAAGGTAATGATATCATCCAGCAGCTTAGACATTTTCTGCTCTAGGACTGCTAAGGTGATTTTTCCATTCTGTTCCAGGGAACTGAGGAACTGAACCATCTGATGAGTAAAGGCTCGGCATTTTGGAACAGCATCCTGACAACAAAAAAAGGATCATGTAGAAGAATCCAAGCAAGTTTTAACTGGGTGCTCCCAGGGAGCACAGAATGCACGATGGCTTCAGGAGGGAGTGACAGAACAGAGCAGGAAGCCACCTGAAGCCAGGAGTGCCTGAGAGTCCCATGTCTAGGAATATCAAAATTGAAGACATCCGTGAACTAGAACCCACATTCTCCCAAATTCTGGCAGAACACACTTCCCTTTTTATTACGTTAATAACAACTACTAGCTGCTTGCTGGGAACTTTTCCAAAAATATTAATGCTATTATTTAATCTTCACAACAGCTTGAGGCAAAACTATTACTTTTAATTCAGATGAGAACATCAAGGTCAGAGTAGTAGCGACTTGTGAACATGAGTTTGTCAGATCTCAAACTCATGCTCATAGCTTCTCTGCCATTCTTCTACCAACAGCATTGAGGTCACTAAACCAATAGCTCAACGCCAGTCCTCAATCCTGACCTCTTGTAAGCATGTGACATTCAAGTTAGGAAAGTAAAAGTAAAAGACTCGAAGGGCTAAAATATCAGTACACACAACACACATCCTCCAGTGTTCTCTGCTGAGCTATCCCCGGGTTCGAGATGATCCTTGGTAGCACTTAAGAGTCCTGAGGAACACTCTTGGCCTTTTAAAGCACCCACTCTACTTACAAAATGTTTCTGGCTGTCAGCAGGAATAGATAGTCCTGCAGACACTTTCAGGAGTTTCAAGATTAATTCAGCAGAAGATTCCTTTGCCAGGAGGATGGATGGCTGGTAGTGGCTGCTGAAGTAACCCAGCACACTCTGGTATGAGCCAATATCCACAAGATGCCATGAAAGTGAGCTTGTCTGCCCAAGAAGACTAAGTAAAGGTGAATCCTAAGAAGGAAACACATTCCTTTAGTTCCAGAGCTCCTATTTTCCCATAAATACATATCTCTAGCTATTCTACGGTATGACTAAGACAGCTAAGATAAACACAGAACAGTTAAGATGTCCAGAAAGTTATCTACCCAAGTTGGGAGTAGTAGTAAAAAAAATAAACAAAGTCTTGGCCAAAACATTAATGTTAAGGTTTATCAAGTGTTCAGAACCAAGCTTTCCAAGGAAGTCTTTGATCTGGTGGTAGAACTAGAAATTAATGAGACGTAAAATAAAACTGACTTTTATATTTTCTCAGTGTTCTCACCTTCATAATCCAAAATTAGATTATCAACTATCCAAGAAAGTCAGCCATCTAGTTAGATGCTTCTCATGTGCACACAGTCACTAATGGAGGCATTAGGGAATCAGGGTAAAACTACAGCTTCATAGAGGGTGAGGCTCTGGGGGCCTGGCCGAGACTTTATCACAGGTTATTCAAACTTACTGTCTGGTCTACCAGTTGATCTTCCTTTGCCAATAAAACCATCATGAAAAGGAGGCACACAATCATGCTCCGGGTCTCTGGGTGAGGGCTGGGGCTCCAGGCATCAGCAAGCACACTGACCCAGTTGACTTCACAGAGGACAGACCCCAAAAATAAGCAGCAGCTCTTGGGGCTTCCCCGTTCCACCTAGAAGGAAACAAATTAAAATCAGTGTTTTAAGTGTTACATATCTTGAAAATGTCTACAGCTCAATGTTGAGTAAGTTAATTAACTTAGCCCAAATGATAAAAATCGTCCACACTGTCCATTTTCTCCTGCAGTGGAAAGATGTGGTGCTGAGGAGACAACACTATGATTTCCAGGGCCTTGTCAAAAACTCAGGTGCAAGGCCTCTGGCCAAGCGTCTGGGACTTCATACTATTGGGAGAATGACTGCACCCCTGAGGTTAAAGTTTTCTAGAAGTATGCTGTGGCTGAACCAAGAAAGAAGGCACACACAGACTTCTATGGAAATTATGATTCCAAGAAAGAGTCTGAGGTGACAAAGAAGGCTGGAATATTTCAGAGTGTAAACTTATCTTAAAACATAAGAAATTCTTTGGCTTGACTTCCATGAAAGTTTGTCACTACCTGTGTTCCTGACTAGAAAACATGAATATTAAGTCTAAGGAATAATTTCTTGTGATAGTAAATTAAGTAAAAATCATCTATAACCCTACCTGCCCAGAGGCTTACACTTAACATCTGCAATATTTGGGATTCCTTGATCAAGGTGTGCAACTTTCAGTTTGTTCATGATTGATTCCACCAAGTCTCAACAGGAGAGGCATGATTTCATCTCAATCCAACCAGGCTGGTAAATCCTAGTCAATGGTGCTGATGGGAGTATATCAAGCTGGGACAGGGCGAAGTTGAGCATTCCTACTCAGCTTTTCCCAAACATAAGCCAGCTGGATGACTTGTAAAAACACAGATCACTCGGCCTCACTCCTAGAACTTTAGTCGCCTGTATATAGGGTAGAAGCAGGAGCTGGTACTTCCAACAAGTTCCCAGGTGGTGTCGATGCTACTTTTCTGTACTGCTTCTATTGCAACGATTCATACATACTTTTGGGCACCGTTCCAGGTCATTTCAGGTTTTTAAATGATTTTGATGCATCATCACTGTTATAACATAATTATTTCCTTGCATAACTGCTTAAAGAAACTAACGACTTGCGTACTTTTGCTTTGATAGAGCATTTAACAA